TCGTAAACAGCTAAAACAGAAGCTACACCAGGACTAAACCAGGGTTGACAATGGGGGACATAGTGCTTGTGAATATATGCGTTTTCATGCTCCCGTGACTGCTTCGAGCGCGTTTGCCGATGCGGAAGTACCGTTTAATATTAAAATAAACACATACTACTGTGATATAAAGTCTCTGGAAGGTCTCTGGACAGAGCTGCATTATTGGAGAAGAACTTTACACAAAAAGCCGCTAGTATCAAAGTCCGCCCGCTACTTCCGCCACTTCCGGCGGTCGCCACCGCTGGCCAGGACTTCTCGTGGGAACACCCCTGCGTCTGAAAATTAGAGAATGTACGTCTGGTGCGCGAGGTATCAGCGTTCCAGCGTTGGCGGTGTGAAAGCACCGTAAGATAAGGCCCATAACACACTTGGAAATGTGCTTTTTACGAACTTTTGCGTTTTGTATGAGCAAACAATACGGGCATGGAACATATTCTGCTGTAGCCAAATTGTGAATAAGCCGCTCTGTAGGTCTTGTTGATTTATATGATAAATATAATGTATATGTACATCTGATTGGAGTAAAGTCAGTGCCTCGCCAATCACCAACCTCACCGCGCGTCACTGGTCAGTGGATTGCGCAGAGATTTAGAATCTCAGCATAGTGAAATTCCTGAAGAAAGCCCAACAACAAAATGTCTGAAAACTAGGGCTGTCAAAATTATCGCGTTAATTCACGTTAATTAGCGCGTTAAAAAAAAGTCAATCGCATGTCCGAATGACTCGCCCATTTATAATAATATCACTCAGAATGCCACGGACACGTGCGTGTGTGATGGTGACAGCGGTAACGTGGTCATATAATACACGCATATATATACACGCACAGGGGCCATTCTCTGATGTTCTCTGATGATGGAGGAGGGGAGGAGACACGCTGAAATGCAACCAAACTCGCAAAATTAAAGCTGGGGTACTTACATTTTCCTTTCATTAACAGCTCTTGTTGGTTGTACCCAAAAGTAGAAGGTTGTGAGCAAGTCAAACAGATTTAAGTCTTTCAATCGCACGTTTCAGCTTTAGTGTCCAGATTCAGCAATTCAATTCAGTCCAAATTATGTCCAAATTCAGATAATCCAGATTGTTCCAAATGATGTCCAAATTGTTTAATCCAATTGTTCCAAATGATGTCCATGCAAAAGAGGACGCTGGGGTTGTCCATGTCTCAGCAGCTCACAGCAGGCCTGAGTGGAATCAGGGGCTGTGCAGATTGTCCATGGGCTGATCCAGATGCATTCTCTTGAGGTTTCTCAGTTTTGGCTTGAAAAAAAAAACACATTTTTGTGTAAAGAAAAAAGTCTTCTGTTCTCTAGATCAGCCTTTCCCAAACTCAGTAACACCGAGGCCCCCTTAAAAATCTGACGGGTCTGCGTGGCCCCCCAAAATAATAACCAAGAAGACAACATTAAGAATAGGCTCTTCTGGTTATTTTATTTTGGGGAAATAGCCTCTGCTACAAACATTGTTATACAAAAATAATTACAGTGGATTATTCAAGTCAAATAATGAACACAAATATTTTAATATTACAAACAAAACATTTTAAATTTAACATTAAATAATTATATATATATTTTTTTTTTTTTATGACCTCCCGCGGCCCCCCTGCAGTACCCTCGCGGCCCACCAGGGGGCCGCGGACCCCACTTTGGGAGACACTGCTCTAGATGTTACAGACAATGCCCGCATCCTCCACCACCTGAAGAAGATGACAAAGTCTGGGATCGCGTCTTTAATTCTGACAGAAGACATGTTTTATTGTCGATGGTAGAGACAGCACGAACAACAGATACAACAGAATGCAAGTGTATTATACAGAGCGGAGGCATGGAGACCTCCAATCAGCAGCTTCCACGGTGCCATGTAGCTTGGCCTTCAGATAGACAAAACAAGGGAAAAGTACAGGCTTCTGCACATTGATAGAATGATGAGTTTAACTTTAACAAAAGTTGCTTAAAAGTGTTATGAAATCTCACAATCATTATGGTAGAACTGTGACAAATGTAAACAATAAAAAAACACACCTTGTTGTGTTAGGAAAAATGTTTAGGATGTAAAAAGATAAAGTATTGTATGAAATCAGATTGACAGATTTTGGTTTTGAACGAGTTCAACAGTTTTGTATGTAATGACCAAAGCCATGAAATGAGCTTTAGTTTTACAGGGAGAAACTATTCAGTCGTGATAAGTTTTATTTTGACTAACAGGACAGAAGCAAATGACAATATTTATTTTTACCAACCGTAATCGACAGGGCCAAGCCAAAGTAGCCCTGTATATTCTCTGGGTCAGTCTTAGAAACATTAAGTTTCCCCTCTGGGTCACAGTGTGTGCGGCACGGTGGCTGAGTGGATAGCACTCTCGCTTCTTGACACAAAGGTTCTGGGTTCGAATCCCGGTCGGGACAGGGCTTTTCTGTGTGGAATTGGCATGTTCTCTGTAGCTGCGTTTCCATTGAATAATGCGCAAAAACTTTTTCGATACATTTCAAAATTCGAAAAACCTGTAATTCGCAAAAGCGGCCGTTTCCATTAAGACATATTCGAATAAGTATACACTATTTTTGCGCGTTTATTCACTAGTTTCTAGTACGTCAACATGGCAACAGAAGTAAACAACACTTTGATTTACGTGAGATATATTAATGTCTTGACTTCTGCTGCGGCTCTCATCCTCTCTGACCCCGGGAGAAACTGTGGCTGCTTTGACAGCTCCGCGAACACGCGTGTTCATGTACCGAGCGCGGACCATAGACGCGCGCACAGAACCATAGACACGGGTCTTGGCTGTCTCCCCCGTCTCTCCCCCATGCCTCTCCCCCATGCCTCTCCCCCGTCTCTCCCCCGTCTCTTCCCCGTTCTCTCCCCCGTCTCTCCCCCTGCCTCTCCCCCGTCTCTCCCCCGTCTCTCTCCCCGTCTCTCCCCCGTCTCTCTCCCCCATGCCTCTCCCCCGTCTCTCCCCCGTCTCTTCCCCGTCTCTCCCCCGTCTCTCCCCCCATGCCTCTCCCACGTATCTCCCAAGTCTCCACACGAAGCGCAGCCAAAACTCACTGAATAAAGCTCAGCTCGGCTTCCTCCGCTATATCGAAATAAGTGTTTCCATTATATATTGTATATTTAACAATAAAATGTGACAATAAAAAGAAAAATGGCAGCTGCCTAATATTGATAATAACAATAGTAAATGGGTAGATACAATAAATAATTAAAAATAGTAAATGATAAAAATAAATACAAATAGAATGTGTCTAAAAACATAAATAGATGTACTAAAAAGCAATAATAAATAATAAATACTAATCAAAAGCTACTCTACTCTTGTTATATTTATGTATTTATTATAAATGTTAGAGATGCCAGAGAAAAGGCGTCTGCTTTTTTTCTGAGTGGGAGGAGACACCAGCGGAGCTGTTTGAGTCAAATAACGTTCAGCGTTATATTACCAATAGTTTCTCTTTCCATAACGATATTCTCTCTTTTTGGAAAGATCACCAACGTGATGCAAAAGTTTACGTTATATGCAGTAGTTTTAATGTCTGCGGGTTATTCCAGAGACTGGCCTGCTACAAGGAGTTGCCCGTTTTAACCAGATTGTCGATGTGCGCGGGGCAGAAACTCGCCAATGTAACCCTGCTCACAAGTGCCACCTGGTGGTTGTTTTGGTCATTGCAACGTCACTGGGAGGGGGGAAAATAAAAGACGCGTGAATCACACGTGAGTCTCGTGTGATTCACGCGTGAAAGGCGACAAAACGGAATGGGACCTACTGTATCTGTGCCAAATCTAACATGTACATTTCTCCATTATGAGATCATATATAAAATGTATTCACTCCAAATACAGTGGTGATTAACAACTATGGTCGCCACAGCTGCCCTGGGGCACCCTAAAAGAATGAGGCGACCTGTATGTGCCATCAGCTTCTCCCACCGTAATCAACCATTCACACACACACAAACATCAAACTCCTTTTAGGCAATGTGGGTGAAGTGCATTGCTTGAGGACACAAATTTGGCACTTTACAGCCGCAGCCGCCCCACGATGGCACCTGGTGTTCCCAGTCGCAGAGGTCTCCCGTCACATTAAAAACCAGGCCCTGCCCTGCACAACTTCAGAGGACTGACAGGATCCAGCACGACTCAGGCCAGTCCCAGACGTATACAATTACCACATCAGTAGAACAAGTACGCAGAGGACAGTCAGACCAGAACACAACAGAGCTGTTCCAGGTCACTTATAGAAATGACCTCTCATCGTCACAAACTCAGTGGAGACCTGTGCTGTGAGTCGTGCAGCTGAGGGCCGCGGTCTGGGATGTGCACTGTAAAAAATGTCCTTGTAGAAAAACGGTACATAGCTGGCAAATATGGTTCCAGGAATTTACCGTTTTCTCAACATGGCATTACCGTTACTAATTTTAACGGTTAAAGACTGTTTCACTGAATCACATTATGTCTTTGTGATTTCAGGATTTAACTGTATGTTCCTGTTAATTCACATACAACAAAAACAGCTTTATAATGTTAATGTTGTATTATTACACCATGTGTGACTGTAACAAAAAATAACACAGTTTAATTTGTTTTACTTTAATGAACAAAACTTTTCAATTGTTTTTTAACATCTTCACTTTATACAAGAAAGCAGTTGACTTTCATTTTAACTAAAGCAGGAGTTTACATGTGTAAGAGGTACCTTTTACACTCATGGTTGCTCGCTAGCAAAAATGTCCCAGCATTCCAAACATACAACAAGTTTATGTTAAATTACGGTAATAATGTGACACATTATTAATCACATTGTGATTTTATGGTATATTAAAGTTTTTTTGTAATCACATTTTAATTGTGGTAATAAAACGCCACTGGATGTTTTTTAACCAATTTATACTTAACTTTGCATGTTTGAATCGTTTTTCAAAATAACATTTGTTTAATATTGAAATTTCATTGTAATTTTTACAGAAATTTGTCACAGTGTGGGCCGGGTTGCGGGCAGGGGTGTGGGCTGCAGTGCGGGCTGCAGTGCGGGCTGCAGTGCGGGCTGGGATGACGGACTGGGGTGCGGGCCAGGTTAGAGACCGGGTTAGGGGCTGGGTTGCGGGCTGGGTTGCGGGCTGGGTTGCGTCCAGTCCCAGTGTTGCGGGGGCAGGGTTTTTGCACATGGGGACAGATGGTTCTGCCTGGTCACAAGTTTCATATAGAAACAGCTTGACACACTTTGTATGTTATCAATGACACGAGCATGATCTCTGGCTGAGTGTGACCATTCACCATTCACCACTATTGTGTTCTACAAGATACTTTTCAAGTTTATAACACTGCAAAAGATTGATATTGAACAAGAGATCTTCCCTGGAAAAAATGCACATATTGTATCCATTATAATATCCATTATAAATCCCGGTAAATTGCTAAAACTGTGTAATAAACAGTAGAAACCAATGTACGTTACTGCCAACTATGATCCATATATTTTTGTGAATCCCCAAAATCAAACTTCCTCAAAGGACTAAACAATGACCATCTTTACACTCGCTCTCCCGGCCACTAACCTTGCATTGCTTGCAACGATCCCATTACTAAATTAGTTGAGCTGTAATTAATGTTTAACTTGTTTCAACTTCAGCGTCCGTAGTTATAGCACAGGTCAGTGTAATCCTTCACTGGCCCAGCAGAGGTCGCTAGACTGACGTTTGCAAAATACTCCATGGACATTAACTACTTATCACTGACAGAGCCTTGGCATTTCTCAGTCCCGCTCCTGTTACTAAGAGGGCCTCGTTCACCAGACGTGTCCGTGGATTGAAAAACTGTTTCTACTGGATTTTGGGCTTTAAAAGGGGGTTTGATGTGTGTTTCCACATTGATTCACACCAGAGCTACATTAGTGCCATACTGTATATGGATTTTTTTGCATATAGAATTAAAGTCTTTACCACAAGGTGTAGCATAACTATTGGTGGAGCTGAGTGGGCTGCATGTTCAAGAATTCCCTTTCAGTTGGAGGACAGATTGACATGTACAAATTTGCTAATGGACACGTACCATCATGGAAAAAACAACACTGCTTAAAATACAACATCAAGTATATCCATTGTATTCAAAACATTTTATATAAAGAATAGTCCTCAAAATGCAGTGAGTAGTCCTTATAAAGGGAAATTAAAAATGTCCCATTTGTGTCTCGAACTCAGAACTTCTGGCTCTCAGGCCCAGCTTCTGGACCACCTGCCCTCTCTGTGTCAGGACCCCAGGGCTTTGCGGAGGTCATGTACCGACATCAACACTGGCTTCTATCCCATAGAGCTGGATCTGTCCTCCAACTGAAGCAGAATTCTAGAGCATGAAACCAAACAACTGCAGCTCTTTGGATCATTCCCACAGATGTATATATTATGTGAAGAGTGTTGCTGCTTAAACCCGTCTCCAAGTGGACTAGAGGCCACCTGCGGTACTTCAGCCTATATCCGCATTGCGTGGAGGGAGATTTCCCCACAAGCTTCAGTGTTCACTAAAACAACTCCTTCTCAACTGAAAGGGAACCTACAGCTTTTCCAAAGGAGGATTGTGTGAGGACTCTAATGTCCCTTGTTATCTTTAACTTTGTTCTTGTTAAATCCATGTCCCCAATCACTCTATACAACAGCCTGATCCAGTTCCTGCCAATCATGGCCTTTGAAGAGGCCACAAACAAAAACCCTGATCAGCCCTGACAGAGATGTCACAGTTTTTTTCTGCAGCAAAGCAAAAAGTGATGAAAAATAAGTCAGAAATTGAGAACATTTGGCAAAATGTATCTTGATTTGAGCACATAGAACAAACCATAATTATCTTGTTTAAAGAAAATACAAGAAATTTCTTCCTTTGAATGAGAAAGTAAAGCAACAGTTCTTAAAATAAAAACCAGATGGCTTTGTTCCATTTGCAAATCTTGTTTAAAGAGTCAGAATGTACTGACATTAAGATAAAAACCACTCGATTCAACCTCACATTTAATCATTTTCTGAAGAGAGGCCCCTGTGTCTCATCAGCATCCTCATTTTAACAATATCTGTCTTAGCAATAACAAGTGCTCACTTAACAATAAAACATATTTGTGACCAACATCAGAAAGACATGGGTCTAATGAGAGGATTATATATGAAACCAAATCAGCTCTGTTCTTGTCCAGTGTAGTGAAGCTGTATTCTCCTGTACAGTAAGTGATTAGTTAGAACTTATGCTGTGAACACTACACCATCAAACATCTGCTGGGGGGACAAAACAATTTCACTGCATAGCATGTGTATGTGACAATAATAAACTTGGACTTGAAGCCCATACGTTTGACCGCTGCCTGTGACCTCTGACCTTTACTGTCACGTTCCACAGGACTTTATTGAGGCGTAAATCAAAGACGTTCTCACGTCTCCTGCATCGTCCATGTGCGTAAGCCACCTAAAGCCAGAGACTCTGCAGCTGCCTCTCATGATACATGTGGCCCTGGTTACCATGGTGACAGGGGCCAGTTGTCTAATGAGCATGCCTGTCCTGTGTCCTGGGTTTTGGTCTGTCCGAGGTCCTGTGTCCTCAATCTGGGTCCTGGGTCCTGGCTCTGGTTCTGAGTGAAACTGGGAGAGGCTGAGTTTGTGAGAGTGTAAGTGATCTGCCTCAGCGATGCAAGACCACACGCTCTAAAAGCAGCAAGTTTACTCAGGACTGAGCTTCACTGCGATTGAACAGATTTACGATTTGTTTTAAAGTGTCAAACAATGTGTGAGTGAAACAACAACTCAAAGGACTGCACAGCATGTTAATGAACCTGTTAGGGGTGTGTGTGTGTGTGGGGGGGGGTATATTAGGGCTTTAAAACGATTACAATTTTTATTGTTAATTACAGCTTAAAAATGTATTAATCGTTTTTCAAACTATCGGCAAAATGATGCCATATTTTTCTGTAAATGGTTGTTTGAATGGAAAGATAAATGCCAACATAGTGTACATATGTACTGTATTTGTTTATTATAACAACAATAAATCCATGTAAAATGGCATTAACCTTATTAACATTCAGTCTTTCTGTAGAAGACACAGACCAAAACTATTGTTTGTTACAGTGGTCGCCGTAGTAACAAAGGAAGGTTGATGCTCTTGGTCAACATCCAGGGGAAACAGGAGCACCCAAAGAAAACCTACACAAACACGGGGAGAAAATGCAAACTTCACTCAGAAAGCCGCTGTTTGGACCGGGATTCCAATCTTCTTGCAAAGAAGTGAGAGCTCGGCCCAAACTGTGTCGCAGTTTACAAAGTCTCCCATCCTCGTCCCAAAGGCAGAATCTAGAACAATCACCTGAACTCATTGTCACCCGGGGAAGAGAACGCGGGCCACATGTTGCGACTCCCCATCAGGACGAGGTGCACGCTGAGGTTGTTTCCCAGGCCGTAACAGAACCCACAGCTCTGGCCTCGCACCACTATATTTACAAAGTGTCAAAGCGTAGCATTGCAGAGATAGTATTACCTCCAGCTTATTTTCACACACCAGGCCGCGGTGGAGGGACGCCACAATCACGGGTCCGGTTCGGCACATTCCGCCCAAGAAACAGCGAGGATTATGACAATATTTATTTGTACCACACTGGCAAAAAGGAACTGATTTGAAACAAGGAATAATGTGTTGAAAAGACCAACCTCTACTAAAATTAGGCTAGAATGAAACCAGTTTAACTGTATAGCACATGTCATAAGTGCAGCATCCACAGGAGGTCATGAGTGAGACAGCTGCAACACTGCACCTCAGCGGCTAAAGTTCAAAGAGAATGTATAAAGCCCCATTTCCACCGCCACGGCGTTGTTGCGTTTTGGAAGTCCAGGTCTCAGGTCTCTGCACTGGCTACTAGTGGCTCAGGGAATGCCCTCCGGTTAAGACTCTGAGAAGCACAGGGACTGGCCTCATCCTGGGATTCTAAGGAGCACAGGGACTGGCCTCCTGCTGGGACTCTGAGGAGCACAGGGACTGGCCTCCTGAGACTCTGAGGAGCACAGGGACTGGCCTTCTGCTGGGATTCTGAGGTCCGAAATCAAGACTCTTTTAAGGAATATTTTTTAGTACTCCCTTAGAATTGAGTGTCCCCGATTAAGACAACAACCGTACCCCGCATAGGATGAGCCAGTTTAATGAAACCCAAGAATATGAGTTAAAGGTAGAACTCATAAAAATTAATGACATAGAAATAAACTTCGTAAAGAAACAGAAAAAAGTGACAAAGTTCTGAGTGATAAGTGACTGTCATGAGGTGTGTTTTCAGTGTGGTCTTGGTCACGGCCGCAGGAGCTGTTTTCTCATGGCTGTGGTTAGGGTTAGCATTAGCTTTAGCGTTGTGTGCAGTAATGTCTGAGTGGGTGAAGGTTGAGAATGACTGACGGAGTTTGGAGTTTGGAGTAAGTGACTGAGACGTGATCAGTGCGATTCAGTTTCTGCTGCTGGGTTTAAAGCGGTGCCAGCAGGAGTTCTGTTACTGCTGCTGCTGCATCCACACATCAGCCGAGAGCTTCAGCTGCATCATCACTACAACATACACTACATGTACAGGAAGTTAGCAAGTCAACTTTATGTATATAGCGCCGTTACAGACTGAGTCACACAGAGCTGGACTCCCACAGTGTGTGGTCAGAACCTGCAGCAAACACAAATACACATATGACTATCACCAGAGAGATAGAGAGATAAAGAGCGAGAGGGGTAGGTACAGTAGGTAGAGCGATAGAGAGAGAGAGAGAGAGAGAGAGAGACAGAGAGAGCTGGGTATGTAGATAGAAAGAAAAAGAGAGAAAGGTACTGAGATAAAGAGATAGAGGTAGGTAGATAGAGATAGAAAGCGAGAGAAGGAAGAAGAGAGAGAGAGAGGTAGGTGGAGAGAGATAGAAAGAGAGAGAGAGAAAGGGAGGTAGAGAGATAGAGACATAGCTAGAGAGGGAGGGAGGTAGAGAGAGATAGAGAGGGAGATAGGTAGAGATATAGAGATAGAGAGAGAGAGAGAGAGAGGGAGGTAGGTAGAGAGATAGAGGGGGAGGTTCGTAGAGATATAGAGATAGAGAGAGGGAGGTAGGTAGAGAAGTAGAGATAGAGAGAGAGAGGGAGGTAGGTAGGTAGAAAGATAGAGATAGATAGAAAGAGGTAGGTAGAGAGATAGAGGGAGTATATATTATTGATATATATTTATTGATCCTTGTAGGAGACATGCAGGTGTCCGCACGTTTCTCTCAGACAGATCTAGAGATGAAGAGATTTCACTCTTTTGAACATTGAACATGGTGAGAAACTCTGAAGTACACAAAAAGATGCACAAGCAGCATCAGAACACAAATACTGTAGAGTACTTTGATATTTGAAGACTCACAGGAATAATACATCGCCTCAGCAGAAGATAGAATGAGTGGGTCCTGTTAGAACTCCCAAAGCAGTCAATTTGACGGCTTTCAGTTCTGGACTTTTAATTTTGGTGACTTTCTCTACCTCCAGACCTTTATGTGCGGTTGGTTTGAATGGAAGCAGTCAAAATGACGGCATGGGGAGTTCTAGTAGTTTCATGATTCTAGTAGTGTTTAAACGTGCCCTCTTCATAGAGGGTGATTTATATTTATATTTAACCAATTACAAGACACAGACAAGAAGCCCCTCACGTGGACACCATCCGACAGCCTTTATAGGACCATGAGCCGCACATGGGACGTCCCACCATTAGGCCTTAGATGTTCCTTTCCCCGACCGGCACAGGACGGGCCATGACGGGGCACAGAGGACTCATGTTATCTATTATATATATATATATATATATATATATATCATTTAAAAAGAAAGAGCCCATTACAGTTTCAAATATTAAGAGTTGTCTAATATTTGTTCAAATATATATGTATATATATTTAATATTCAAATTATATACGAGCCCTTGGCATCACTTGATTGGTTTAAAGTGGACGGCATTCCCTAGGATAAGAGAAGGCGTAGAAAGAATATTACCCGTAATATTATAATTCATAAAATTACTTATTATATATCAACAAGGCCTGGTGGTCGATTTAATACCATTCTTAAAATGTGTTATTCATTTAGAGTTCCAGACTATCACTTTAAAAGCCTTTAGAAGTCTGGAGGCCAAATATTATTTGTTCCTAGAAAGGTTGGGTCATTTTTGGACCATTTCTACTAAGAAGACAAGATGAACCAATATAACTTTATAAAGCACAAGCCCAAACTCTGACGATGGGAGCTTCACTCACCCAAACACAGCTCCACGGCTCGTTATGCTGTCTTTGTGCACAGTATTGTCCCTCTCAGATGTGTATGTAGTTTTAGAAACTTGCCACATGAGGGCAGCAGGAGAGAAAACAGTGTCTAACGGCTCGAACACACTGAGAGCGCGGCGAGGGACGAGCGCCTCTCCTCTGCTGTGTACGCACCACAAATGTACATGAGCTGTTTGAAGTCATTACGATTCAAAACTAAAAGCCGTCAGATTGACTGCTACGATAGTTCTAGAGTTAAGCGGCTGGCCTGGCCGGCATGGGTTGGTTGGAAATGGGCGTTTGCTGTGCGATAGGCTGGGGATGCGAGGCCGGCCTGGAAGGAGTGGCTTTGCTGACGTCTTCCAGAATTGAATTTCCGCGAGGCTGCATTTTTGCTTTCCCCATCCTGTGTGCGCCACATGAGCCGTGTGCACAGTGGGACTCCGAAAAACACACCAGGCTCAGAACCAGGCCCAGATCCAGACCCAGATCCAGATCCAGACCTAGACCTCGATCCAGAGCCATGCCCAGACTCCTCCACACACCTCCTCCAGCTCATCCAAGTGGATCCCAAAGCATTCCCAGGCCAGCTGAGAGACGTTCTTCTGTGACCTAGGTCTTCCCTTGGTCTCCTCCCGGTGGGACATGCCCAGAACACCTCCCCAGGAAGGCGTCCAGGAGGAATCCCAAACAGATTCTCCCCTCAAAATCAGTTTAATCAATGTAGAGATTTCAAACATACTAAATACATCCATAGGTTTATTACAGCAGGCAGAAGCATGGTATGTCTTCTTTAATCCTGAGTGTTGGATCTTCAGCACATGTGTTTGTGGAAGCAGATCTCTCCCTCAATGTGGGTCTCCCTGAGGTTTGTCATTTTTTCACATTGGATTTTTTGTGTTTGGAGTTTTTCCTTTCCAATGCAGGAGGGTCTAAGGCAGAGGAGTCCAAACCGATCCAGAAAGGGCCGCTGTGGCTGCAGGTTTTCTATCAGACCCAGCAGGAGAAGAGCAGACTCCTCCCATTTCCTCAAATCTTCAGGTTAAGACCATAGAATGTATATATTAACGGATGTAGTCACGCCTATCTCCGCCGTTCTAACTAATGGGCCAAAAATTGGGCTCTCATGGAGTGATTCCAAATGGCCGTGGGGGCTGGAAAATGTGTAAGTAAGTAAGTAAGTTTTTATTTATATAACGCCTTTTCACTGCAGATCTGAGTCTCAAAGCAGTTTACAATTGTTCATTTTGGGCATTTGTCTCTCACTCCACACAGAGATGGGAGCAGGGTTGCCAGTACAGGAAGCGCATGCCAGAACTATTGGACATATTTTTAGTGGTAGGGGAAACCGGAGTACCCGGAGGAAACCTACGCAGACACGGGGAGAACATGCAAACTCCACTCAGAAAGGCCCTGGTCCGACCGGGATTCGAACCCAGGACCTTCTTGCTGAGAGGCGAGAGTGCTATCCACTCAGCCACCGTGCCGCCGTGAACAAATGTGAACAAACGCATCTGCGTATGCGTCAGTCGGCACGAGCTCCATTCATTTAAACCAGTGACTTCAAAAATTCAACTTTTGGACCATCCTGTAAAGGTGTTTTCGAGAGGTAAGAAGATTCTACAGTATATGTTAGCATTGGCTAATTCTTATTCCGGGTCCACCCCCATCGGCCCGGGGTGGTGTTGCAAGCATGTCAGCGCACGTCATTTTGGCCACTTTTGAGCCGGGACCCGCCCCTGATTGAGAAGACTGAGCTTACTTAAGGAAATGGGTGGAGTCTGCTTTGCCCCTGCTGGGTCTGATAGAAAACCTGCAGCCACAGCGGCCCTCTCTGGACCAGTTTGGACACCTCTAGTCTAAGGACAGGGATGATGATCCAGGACACTCGATATCTAACATTTATGAACATTTATGCGTGTGTTTTTTTAAACTATTTGATTCTCTGATCTGTGCTGGTGAATTGACAGCTTTGTAAAGTCCTCCAAGATAACTACTGTTGTGATTTAGGGCTGTACAAAAATACATCGACTCGAATTGAATTGAATCCTGGGAGTTTACCCGATATACCTTCTTCTGCCTAATATTGGATGGGGAACTTGAAAAGAGGTGAAGGAGGCTGGTAGAGTGTGAAAATCCCACATTCCTCAGAGCTGTCCGGACGGTCAGAGCGATGGACTAATAAGGGCGTGTGGAGCTGCCTGCACTGGCCTTGTATAGCTCTGCCAGCGGACACTTCATCCGGTTTCTATCTTTAGAGCCACAAAAGCAACCCAACTTTCACTTATTCTCTGTGAACCA